TACTACTACTACTACTACTACTACTACTACTACTACTACTACTACTATTATTATTATGTTATTGGTTGCTAATTATTTTTTGTTTTGTTTGTAAGACAAAGTCAAAAGTATCCCAGGGTGACATGGAGCTCACGTAGTCAGTGATGACCTTGAACTTCTGATCCACCTGTCTCCTCCTCTTGAGTATTGAGTACTGGGAGACAAATGTAAACCACCATGCATGATCAAAATAAGGGCTTTATACATGCTAGGTAAGCCTTCTACTCAGAGCTACATGCCCAGATCAAGCACAATCTTTTTTGAGATAAGGCCTCCCTGTGTGGTAAAAGCTGGCCTCGAACTCATGGTCCATCTGGCATCAGCCCCCAGGTCCTGGGATTACAGGTGTGTACCACCACACCCTGGTATCCATCAAAATCTTATTTCAATACTTAGTTACATTTATCAACACCTAGATTCAAATAAGGGTGTGGTGGTACAGGACTGTTATCTAACCACAAGTTATCCGGTGGCCTGGGCTAACACCAAACGCTCAAACACAGTGAGGACCACAGAACCAGACTGTACAATATACCATCTCCGGGAGTCTATCCCACTAATGCCCACCCAGAACAGTCTCAGCTTTCCCAGGAGAGACCAGTAGCACCCCTCGCTGAGCATATGGTGACTTGGGGCCGTTGAGTTCTCTGTCCCTGCATGAATGGGAACCACAGTCCCTGCAAGCTATCAATCTGCCTTTTGTCTGGAGAAGCAGAACTCCGGTCCTTTGCTTGTCTATCAGCACTCACAGTTCCCCTCTGATTATAGTAAAATCTATGTGTGTTTGGACAGCTAACTGCTTCCCTAAGCCTGGGTTTCCTCCTCTGAAAAATGGGAACCAAGATCGCTGCCTCATAGCTCGGTCACGCTTATTTATTAAATAAAGTGCTGGGGCTAGCGAGATAGTTCAGTCTTAAAGGCACTTGCGGCCAAGTCTGGTGATGGAAGCTTGATCCTCAGGGTCCACATGGTGGGAGGAGAGAACCAACTGCCAGAAGATGTTCCCTGACCTCCACACATGTGCTGGGCACCACGCGAATTCATGGTTGCCGCATAAACATGAAAAGTAAATAAACAAATAACTATAAAAGAAACAATTGCCAGGCCTAGTGGCTAACACTTTTAATCCCAGCACTCAGAAGGCAGAGGCAGGCAGAGCTTTGTGAGTTTACCCAGTGACATCTAGACCAGCCAGAGTTACAGAGTGAGACCCTGTCTCAAACAAGAAGCAGGGCAGGAGCCAGGTATGAGGGCACATGTCTTCATCCCAGCCACTCTAGAGGCTGAGGCAGGCATATCATTATCAAAATGAAACCAGGCTGGACTAAGAAGCCAAGCATTATCTTAACAAAAACAAACAATGTGGCCAGTCAGTGGTACTTCATGCCTTTAATCCCAGCATCCAGGAGGCAGAGGTGCAGCATGAATAATGAAAACCCAGAGACAGATATTGGGGTTCAACCCAAAAACCAGAAAAACAAAGCAGCCAAGCCACCAGAGAAGTCTTACCTCTACCAAAGCAGGGTGACCACAGACTAAGCAGACTAAACCTTTCTCTCCCATTTTATATTCCCTTTAGTCCTGGGGATTAAAGATGCGTGACTCCCTAGGACTGGGAGTAAAGGTGAGAGCCACCACCACCTGGATTTGTATCAGCATTGATCACTTGTAGCCCAGGTTGGCCTTGAACTCACAGAGGTCCGTCTGCCTCTGTCTCCCAACTCCTGCAATTAAAGGTGTGCGCTACCACTGCCTGACCTCTAGTGACTTAGCTTTGCCCTTCTGATCTTTAGGCAAGCTTAATTTATTAAAATATAAATAAGCCGGGCAGTGGTGGCACACACCTTTAATCCCAGCATTTGGGAGGCAGAGGCAGGTGGATCTCAGTGAATTCAAGGCCAGCCTGGTCTACAACATGAGTGCCAGGACAGCCAGGACTGTTGTACAGAGAAAACCTGTCTCAAAAATACCAATAAACAAACAAGCAAACAAATAAAATATCACTGTACAGAGACAGGAGGCTCTCTGTGAGTTCAAGGCCAGCCTGGTCTACAGAGTGAGTTCCAGGACCACCAAGTCAAGACTACACAGAGAGACCCCATCTCAAAAAAAAAGGTGGTAGGTAGAGGTAGAGTACTTCTTGTCTAGCATATATAAGACCCTGGATTCAAGTCACCCAGCACCATGAAAAAGAAAAGGCCCTTTTCTCATATGTGGAGGTGCTCAATGAGTAACTTAGGAGTTCTGACCACAGGTTAGCCCTGCCTGTGTGCACATCAGAGATTGTGGTGTGCCTTAGAGGTATTATCTTGTTATCTTTCTCAACTTAGAGCCAAATGCAAATCTTGCCCCTTCGCATGTGCGCTCTCTCTCTCTCTCTCTCTCTCTCTCTCTCTCTGTGTGTGTGTGTGTGTGTGTGTGTGTGATTCTGTTGGTCACAGGGATGGGGAATCTTTTAAAAATATATTTATTTTAACTTGTGTATGGGTGTTTTGCCTACATATATGCCCACATACCACATACATGCCTCAGAGGTCGGAGGAGAGAGACCTGAAGGGTTGTGAGCCACCATGTGGGTGCTGGGAATTGAACCCTGGTCCTTTGGAAGAGGAGCCGGTGTTCTTAACTGCTGAGCCATGCCTCTGCCCTGGGATCTCTTTTGAGATACCATATCTTAGTCTGATCTGGAACTCACAATATAGTCCAGGCCGGCTTCAAACTCACTATGTAGCAAGCAGATGCCCTCAAACTTCTGATCCTCCTTCCTCCACCTCCCATGGGCTGAGGTGGCAGGCACGCCCTAGGACTCCTGGTGTGACACAGCTGGGAATGGAACCCAGGCTCTTCCATGCTGAGCAGGCTAAGTCACAGCCCTACTCCCACCTCATCCTTACAAAGTTTTATTAGAACACAGCCCTGTGGATGTACTGACTATTGTCTCCCCCATGCTTACATGCTACATTATACAGCAGCGGTGGAAATCACGTGACTATGAAACATAATCTCCTTGCTATCTGGCCCTTCACAGAAATGCTGACCACCCTGAATAAGGGCAATTGCCAGGCTCCCAGGCTTGCCCTCTGCATCAGATAGTTCTAGCATTGCCTTCTAGTGGGCAGGTAGGAGAAGTGGAGGAGGTTCCTCTTTACAGCATCAGCTGGAGAGGATGTCATGGTGTCAGGGTTTCCCAGGACAACAGGAAAGGACTTGTTGGCCACACAGAGGAATTCCCCACCTCCTACCCACTACCCCAAACTAACTGCGGATCCTCAGGGCAGAAGGTGACTTCCCCTGCCTGAGACTGAGCTAGGCTGTAACCCGATCTCCTCTGTATTAGTGTGGCCTGGTTGAAGTGGCTGTCTGGCATGCCCCTCCCCCATTCCTGTCTTCTCTCCCCACTCCAGGAAGAGCAAGGTCTGTGGAGGCTGCTTTCCTGTTGGTCAGAATGACAGTTGGCCAGGATTGCCTGATTAGGAGCCACAGCGATCTCCTTACTTGCTCCCTTTTCTTGCTTCCGGGGTGTGCTGAATTCTCTTGGACAGTGAAAATTGCCATTTTCCAGAGCTGGCAGAGGGTCTGAGGAAGGGGAGAGCCTGCTCCTCGGGGCCGTCACAGAGGGAAATCCGCGCACCCACTACCTTACCTGCTTCTGGCTTCAACAAGAAACAAACAAGTGCGTAGACACGGCCCCCACTCCTCCTCCCTGCCCAGTGGAGTGTGCCAGGCCTGGCTGTGCCTCCGGGTGCAGAGAGCTGCTGGCTCAGGCTGACCACAACTCCTGCTGAGCCATCAACGTCCCCAGAACCCGGCTGCAGCTGGCTCCAGAGGAGGATGCCTTGGTGCCCAGTCCCCTTACTGTGGTGGGTTTGCCGCTCTAGCCATTGATTCCCCCACCCCCACCCCACCCCCGCTAATGTGTTCTGTGCTGAGTGTCTGTCCTCCTCTCTCTGGCACCAGAAGGCCTGCCTGCTGGCTGGTCTGGACAGTTTGCCAGGAAGCAACATATGCCCCTTTCCTAGGAGGCCAAGAGTAGGGAGAGACTCTTTACCCCTCCCCAACATGGAGTCCCACTGGAGTCCCATGGCTCTTCCTCCCACCCTGGTTCACTGTCACCCTCAGATTTCCAGGACCTGGAGAGTCTGATGTTGGCTGTGAAGGCAGTTTGATAAATCCCGAGCCAAGCAGTCCTCAGTACAGGCTCCAGAGGATAAGGCATAGCTTCACAGGGCTGGAAGCTTCGTGAATACTTACAAACTGGCGTCCATGTGTTTTGCTTTCTTGCCAAGGATGGATCCCAGGGCCTTTGGTCTGCAAGACACAGAAGACGTGTCCCTAGCCCTACACCATTTTTAGATCATAAAGGGAATCTATGCCTGTTTTAAAGATTGAAACCCAATTAGATTTTATTGAAGGTAAAAGCCGTGGCTAACTAGCAGAGAGTTTACTACACTGAGTCTTTTTATAAACACGGATCAATGCCAAGGGAGAAGAGGAAAGGAAATTTGCATTTTTCATGGTCCTCGGGCAAAACACAACCTGTTCTACCAGAAGCAGGTGAATGGCCATTCCTGAACTTTCTATTAAAAAAAAAAATTTCTGCCTCTAAAAATGGTCTGTCAGTTATGATAGGCCTTAGCCAAAGTTGATCGCAGTCACTTCAACATTGCAAAATGAGACTTTGGGTGATTGCTCAGGTAGCTAACTGTCTCCGTCATTTTCTGCTCACTTTGGAAGCTGCTTGATTGCACCTTCTGTCCACTCCAGTAATATTATTTCCCTTCTCAGGCCTTCGATGGGGTTGAAGATTAGACAGTCATAGTTACCTTCCTCTTATGATTTGGCCAAGCTTATTTCCGATTCAAGATTTAGACTCCTTGAAATGGACTTTTTATTAAAACATTTGTCATGTATTCCTTGCTTAATATTGCTTATGTTGTTTGTAATTTTATACTTGATATCTGTTCCTATTGTATATAGTTTTGTATTGGGTTTGGGTTGCTCTTGTTTAGACAAAAGGGGAAGATGGTGTGGAACCTTGTTAGCCAATCATCTTTAAGAGGTGGGTCTTAGTTAAGGCATGGCTTCGCTGGGACCCAGAGTAAACTGTGTGCACTTCCATGTGCATACTCTCTGCACCTTTTCCCGTGGGACATTGCTGTGCTTGGATTTCTTGTTTCCTGTTTCGTGAGTTTTCCCCTTATAATAAATAAAATATAATTGTTTTATCATTAACTAGCCTGGTTATTTCAACAAATGGTCCTAGCTGTCCTAGAACTCACTCACTCTGTAGACCAGGCTGGCCTTGAACTCACTGAGATCTGCCCTTCTCTACCTCCTTGAGTGCTGGGATTATAGATGTGCCCTGTCACCACCCAGCATGGATATTTAAGGCAGACCTAGACTCTGACTTGCCTCCTTCCTTCCTGCTTGCCCTAGGGCTGTCTGGGGCCCCTGTGCACAGTCTGAAGCCCACAGTGGTGGTGCATACCCGTGATCTTGGCACTCAGGAGGAGGCTACAGGACTATCTGGGAGTTCAAGGTTCAGATTACATGAGACCCAGTGTCAAAGAAAACCAAACTACTGAACTTGGGTCCTCTGGAAGAGCAACCAGTGCTCTTAATTGCTGAACTACCTCTGAGCCTCCTTAAAATACTCCTATATCAGGGGGCAGTGGCACACACCTTTAATGCCAGCACTCCTGTGGCAGAGACAGGCGGATCTCTGTGGAGTTCAAGGTCACTGTGGTCTACAAAGAAAGTTCCAGGACAGCCAGGGCTAAAAAGAGAAACCCTGTCTTCAAAACAAAACAAACAAACAATCAAGAGACAAAAAAATACCAAAAGCCAAATTACCACTGAGGAAAGATCTTGGTGCTTAAAGTGTACAGGAAGGAGAAGCTCATGCTTTGGATCCCCAGAACCTCTGTGAGCACCTGGTGAATGTAGCTACACACCAGTGATTCCCACTTTGGAAGATGAAGACGGGGATCCCGGGAGAGACTAGCCATATAGGCCAGGCCTGGGTTTGACCGAGAGACCCCACCCTAATTAAAGGAGAAGAGTGCTCGAGGATGATTTCCTACATGAATCTCAGGCTTCCACAGGCATGCGCACAATGTGCGTTCACACCTACACGCACACTTATGCCTACACACAAACACACGTGAAAATGAGCGTGGGAGAAACAAAACAAAACGAATTCAAACAAGCAAGCAAAAACATGAACTTGAAGGTCAGAGAATCCGTCCTTCAGAGTGCTTCGGTCCGCTGAGGGCAAGAGGAAGCAGCTAAAGCGGGAACAGGAGAAGGGAAGGGGAAAGCATCCCGCAGTCTCGGGGAAGCTGACAATGCAAGAAACATGCTCCAGTGAGCACAAAGAATTTTCTTCCTCCTTTCCATAACAGCCCACAGCAAAATGGGAAGCCTGGACTGGTGTACCTCTGGGAGGCTGTTTCCTTAGACTTTGGTCATGCTGTCCTGTGACCACCCTCTGAGGTAGATATGATTTCTGTTTTACAGATGGAGCCATGGAAAGCCTGGGTTTGCCCATGTAGGATACCAGAACAAAATAGCTCAGGCTGGGCAGTTTATAAGTCACAGGAGGGTGACAGCAGCCACTTCTGGAGACTGTGAAGTGCAAGATCCTGGTGCCAGCGACCCAGTTGAGGACTTTTTTTCTTTCCTCTCCCCTCCCCTCCC